CTCGAAACTTGTTTATTTGAAGATTTCACTTTTAACTTGTGTGATATGCACACATGTTTTTTTATTACAAGGAAGACAAATGTCTTGATAAACAAAATTGATAAGTTTGCTTTAACACGTTTTAAAAAAGAACTTCTTATTAGATTGTTTGCTAAACCTGACGAATAAGAAGTCGTTTCGTTGATTCAATGAGAAAATTTCTCGACGAACTATGAAATAGAAAATGGGGGCGACGAGGGAGGAGAGTGGTGTGGAAAGAAAGAAAATAGGGAGTTGGTTTTAGTCGTAGAAAAGTATAGCCGCCATTTTACGATCCATCAAATTCCAAAGTAAGCAGCTACGGTTGGATGCTTAGCCGTGAAATTAGAAGAGCAATTCGGTGTATCGGTGAACGTTTTTCTCTATGCCACCGAAGAAAAGGTAAAGGGCAGAGGGTATCCCATTTCTACGATCCAACGAGGTATGAAATATGAAGTAATGATATAAAAATGCTGTCGTTAAATTTCTTTCCGATTTTCTAAGATCGATCGAAAATTTATTATTTTATTTTAACGTTACGATGATAAACTGATCCGATCTCGTTGAATTTTATTATTATTATTTTAATTTTACTTTTGTTAATAATAATTGTAACAAAGTTATACTCTTACGAAATATAAGATAAAAAAATAAAAAATAAAGATTTTTATATATACCGGTAGTGGCCTAAATGAAAAATTATACAAATATATTTTATGATTTATTTTGTAATATAAATAAATAATTTTAATATAAAATATATCATAAAATTCATTTATTTAATTTTTTTTTTTTTACTGTAGTCCACATATATAAAATAAATTATTACATTTTTTTAATAATAATATATACTATTTTAAATACTTGATATATATATATATAGATTTTTTTATATATATATTTAATATAATATTAATATTTAAAATGTATATATATATATATATTCTGAAAGTTTGATATGTATTCGATATTATTCTGATATGTATTTGCTTTCTTATTTTATCACATACGTTTGATATGTATACGTTACATAATAATAAACGTCGAAATAGTTTCTCTACAAATAAATATACATATATATATACACTGAGTTATATGCATATATGTATAAATGTATTTACGTATGTATGTATGTATGTATGTATGTATGTATGTATGCATGAATAAATGTACACTTCGAGGAAAACTATGATTAAAATCGATATTTATTTTATCGAAGGTTAAAAAGTTGTTTTCTACTTTGTTTCAAAAAATCGACGTGTATATTTTATTTATTTTGATCTTCGAGCTTGTACTATGGAGCCTATATGCGTACACATCTCGTGCGCGTAGATGTGTGTGTGTGTGTGTGAGAGAGAGAGATAGAGAGAAAGAGAGAGAGAGAGAGAGAGAGAGAGAAAAAAAAATGAAATCCCTTTTTTTTTTACTAAAGCACCACCATGACGAGTCGTTAGAAAATTCATGGGTCGAAAGTCCCTAAGTGGGCTGAAAAGTTCGAAGCTGATTTTTATAATCGATTATTATAAACAATTAGATGGTAAAACTATAATAAGTCTAATTTCACACATAAGAATACAAATGTAAAGAGAGTAATTGATTTTTTACAATCAACTAGGAACTTTTAGCTCGTCAATGAACCTTTTGACTCATTTTACATGTTCTCTCGTGTTCTATGGACCAATACTGGTTTTATTTTTCCTAAATGACGATTACACTCTTTTTACATATCAATCTACTTTTTTTTGCGTAGCAATTAAGTTCTCTTGTACTTTTTTGTTTTGTGTTATTTTATTTTTTTGTTGTTTCTATTCCGGTCGAAAGATCGCCCGTCTGATCGTAGCGAAATTAACAGCAATGGCGGCTTACAACATGTGAGTCAAATTACGGTCTGTGAAATGGAAACGAAGATACAAAAACAAAAATATATAAATAAAATGATACTCTTTTGGTTTATCTTATCAATATCTTTGGAATACTTTCTATTTTTTATTAGAAATAAATAATTTTGTTTATAAATTAAATAACACAAGAGATAGATAGAGAGGATAACCTCAGTTATGACGTTAAATAAACGTCGCTAACAATTAACCTTAAATAGGCTTTAAATAAACAACGATAATAAAATTAAAAAAAAAAGTAACGTAAATGATATAAAATATATGAATAAAATATCTAATATAATTATAACAATAAAAAAATAAAACAAATGTATAAATACGTTCATGTAATAATTCAATCATCTTCTTTGTTTTCTGAAGTTTGTTACAAAGTAAAAAAAAAAAAAAGAAAATGTATATTAAAATAAAAAAGAGAAAGACAGAGAGAGTGTGCGTATGTGTGTGTGTATGTGTGTATGAGAGAGAGAAAGTATAAAAAGAAATAAATATTCGTGAAAAAGTAAAAAGATCTGCGATACTATTGTACGTTGTAGAAATCGGTTTCGGATTTGCCGGGCTTCGGAAATCGAGACGCGGGCTTTTTTAAAAAGACGAATGGTCAACTTTATCTTGGTTGGTTTTATTCTCGCTTTCTTGGTGATGTACGGACCCATCCCCGTACTTTTTTCCAGAAGGATCGTCAGCATTCTTCTTTTCTCTCTCTCTTTTTATCTATATCCTTTTGCTCCAATCTCGCATGTCAGACTATAAGAATCGTTTCTCTCTCTCTCTCTTTCTTTCTCATCCTACAAATCCCTTCCACCTACCACTCTCTCTCTCTCTCTCTCTCTTCGTTTTTCTCTTTTTCTCTCCTGCATGAAGATATCCGATATAAGCTTCTTCATCGATTTGAACGAAAACACATCGACGGCATCTTCTTTTCTACGAAGATTTACATCGGATTTTTGAGTGCTCTTATTCGTGATTGATCGAAAAACGAAATGATCGTTCTGACGTAAAAAGAAAGAAAGAAAGAAAAAAAAAAAAGAAAAAACAAACAACACAAGTCAAAGAAAAAAATAAAAAAATGCTTTCCAATTTAAATCCCCCTTTTTTTATTCTTGTTGTTACGGTTGTTCGTTCCGCATTCGAAACGGGACTCGGCATGATGGTATGGCGGCCATTTTGTGAAATACGATAATCTTAACGACACGATATAACAACTTCCAATGTGGATTATAAAAATATTAAATCTTTCCTTATATATATATATATATATGTATATGTAATATTTCTGACTAGATTTAACCTACTGATATGTTCTTCTTCGATCGCTGTTTTTTTGTTTCCCCACCCCCAACCCACATCGTTTTCCCACCCACCCGTTTCCTTAACTCACGGACCAATGTGATCCACAGGGCTGACACGGGGCTGAGAGATACATGCATCCCATTTTTTTTATTCCTATATTTCTTATGCTTTGATACTATTCCCACCCAATTATCTAACCCCCACCCCTTTCCCCAATCACGATCTTATTCTTCTTTTTCTCTTAACCCTACTATACTCCTTTCTTATCATTTATTTATTTATATATACCTATATATATTATATATACTTTTTTGTTCTTATTTACTCAATTAACCTCCCCTTTCGTCCCTCTATATCCTATCTTCCCCTACCCCGTATCTCTAGTTTATTTTGGCCGGCGTTACTGTTACTTCGTGTACGTATAATGTACGTTTATGCGTATTCGAGTTGAATGAAAAGTTCATGACGATTTATTATTATTATTTTTTTTTTTATATATTCGATATAATATTGTATGGATAATTATGATAATGGCTTAATTGAGTCATTTATTTTGAAATTGGCCTAACTCCATTTGCCAAGTATTATTTTCCGGTTACACGTGGTTATTGTACAACTTCATGTTGTGTATCAATAAAGCATTTGAAGTTGCTTATATTCCGAGTAAATATGATAATATTTTCTAGTAAATAAAATGACACAAGAAGATTTTGTATATACAAAATTATTAGAAGACGTAATATTAAAAAGGGTAAAGAATTCTGATGAAGAATCAATAAACTGATTAAAAATATTATATGTTGGATGTTTTGAATCGCATAAATTATATTTCCGAAGTGTTTTAAACATATGTAAAATAAATAGAGTATTGTTTTTTTTTTCAATTTGAAGTAAAATAAGTGGCTCAATTATAAGTCAAAAAATTATGCACATTTATTTTATGAATAATTTAATAATATAAGTCATTTGAATATAAAATAAATCATAAAATTCATTTTTTTTTTCAAATATATTTTATAATTATTTATAATTATAAATAAAATAAACTATAAAGTTTATGTTTTCAATTTTTCTGACTCAGTCCACTGTCATCATTTCCGAACAAATATATTTTTAAATATATATATCGGAATAGAAAAAATGTTGTTTGTAATATTTTCATTAAAAAATTGTCACGAACTTTTCAAACAATCCTCTTTATGCTTATAAGTTTTGTGTGCGCGTGTGTGTCACGAATTTTGTTCGTAATAATGTGTTGCGTGTATTTTGTTGTTTTTAGTCTCTTCATCTTCCCATTGTATTTTGTTGTATTTTTTCTTTTTCTCTTTTTCTGAAATATTTCTCTTATTCCTGTTTAACCCGTTAATGTGGGCAGTCACTTGAGAATAAAACGAGTATGTAACAGAGCGCATATCGATGGATCGTTGCTTCTCTTGCATGGAAAAAATCGATTCTCGAGCCGAAGCAACGTGCAACAGCTTATATTATGTACGTAAGGTATATATCGCCGATCGCCATATTGTTCTCGATTCAGAGGATACATATATACATATTTACATGTATACAAGAAAAAAAGAAAAAGAAAAGAGAAAGAAAGGGTTGGAAAATGTGTGAAAGAAGATGTGATCATTGGATGTCGTTCTATTTTCAACATTTTTAGGTTGCATTGAAAATACTTTTTCCATTCGAATTTAATTATTGCAACTTTTTGTTCGTAATCTCAAATGATTAACTAATTTAATTTTAGCATTAGAATTTGCTAAATCAATTGATTTTTTTTTTGTAGTAATAATTTGTTTTTAATTATTAAATCGATTCGAATATAGTTTTTAATTATAACCGATCGAAGAAAGGGTAATTATAAAAAGTCTCTGAATCGAGCACAACGAAACGAATATTTGAACCTTCGATATACACGCAATTATTTATACTTCTGTACGGAAGTATAAACAAATCGAAGGATAATTGTAGGAAGTAGTACATTAGCACCGTATTTTTGTTGATACCACCAATTTTAAAGAATCATGGAAGTATATATCCTGATCCAACGTTCGTTCTTGATCAAAATTACGTGTCTTTCTCTCTCTCTCTTTCTATTTTTTTTAATTAATAAACAAAAAAAATTCCCTAGCTAGCCACGTGACATGACATTAGAGTCAAGTTTTGGAAGAATGAACGATGGACGCTGTCATGGCGTCCAAGTCACGTGGTCAGTACTGTCACGTGACAATATCACGTGACTATATCACGTTACACAGTCCCATCTTCTTGTAGGAATTTCTATCGAACGAATTATAGTACAATCAACGTTCAATAACTTCTTGTAACTTTCAATTCGAGATTCTCGCCTGCGAGTTTATTTTAGATCGATTAAAGGACGTCTAAGTTTTCTTTTGACACGTTATCCGAAGCTCCAATGGCACGCGTTTTCTTTTCTTTGATTAAACGAGGTAGAGAATGTGAAAATACGTAAGGATAGTCATTGTATTGTCGCAAGTAGATGATGCGGATTTGATTATAATCAGTCGACTAAGATTAATTGGGTATATGAACGATGTTATTTTCTCTATCTTTGAGTTTGATGATAATCTCAGAACTAGTATAAAAAAAATGAAAAAGAAGAGAGGGAGTGAAGACGTAGATCATCAAGAACGAACGTTCATCGAAATATCTATGATGGCTATTCCTCGGGCCAGCCGAGATCCTCGCCAACCAGTTCATAAAATCGCTGATTATGTTCGTTGAAGAACCTTCTGAGTTTGGTGACAACAACTGGACTAACTCTTGGATGTTTACGACCTTTGCTTTCTCTTAAACATTTTTCTGAGGTTTCATTGCGTAGACAATAAAAGCCTTTAGTGTGATTGAAGTAAAAATTGTGCCTTCCTATTCTTGGCTCTAACCCTAGAAAGTTCTCGATTTTTCTTAATTGCGGTACGGGATCTTCGATCAATTGATCCCCATTAACAATGAGAATTTGTTCTCTTGGAAATACCTCTAACCAACGATGCATGAACGTGTGATAGAGAGAAATGGCGACTGGCCTGTAGGATTCGTTGATGGTACCATCAGGACGTATCACCAGTTCCTCGAAGCTACGCGTAGCTTGAACTTGCTGAGATTGTTGATTATTAATAACGTTGCTACTACGTGATGACGATGTGCCATTGCTGTTGATGTTGTTGCTGCTAGTCAAGGTCGAAGCTGTAGCAGCATGAATACGTAACTGCGTGTAATCTGATATGGCTCTGGTAACGGGCTCCCTCACAATCAATAATAACTTCACGCTGGCGTTCATTGCTCGTATTCTCTCTGGTACCTGAGAACACAAGGACGACAGGAGGAAGAAGAAGTGTTACCAAACCTGCTGCTACTAGAAGGAGAATCCAATGATGTTGGTGGAGAACTATTATTCCCTTTGGGATGTAGAAGGTAATGTAGTAGGGTTGACAAGAAACATTGTACTTGTTAAACGAATATAGGATATTCTTTTGAAAGATACAAATAAAACGAATGAAAAGAGAAAGTATATCAGACGAAATCTTGTTAGAAAATGTAAAACGCTTGATATAACTTTTAATAAATAATAGCTCTAACAATTTATATCGACTTACCTCAGGTGTAACGAAATAACTTGGACTCTTCTCGATGGTAATTTGACCTCTAACGGAATATGGCATTTTCCTACGGTACCATTCGAGTCCTTTCCCATAATTATCGTCACGATCAAAGAAATGTACTTCTCCTGATGCTTTCTGTATTTGCGGATGTAGGAAAAGCATCTCGAGGAGTGCCCTGGTGCCGCATTTCCTTACACCAATAATGATCGCTTGAGGTAGGTGACGACTCGTACGTGTATAATGGACCTTACTGGAGAACAAAAGTGGTGGTGTTGCACGAACCTGGGTTACCAATTCAATCGCACGTCCTTCGACGGCTGAAGCAGCATGTAAACTGTACACGGCGCTGTCATAGAGCACGTGGAAGGTTAGGAAGAGGGATAATAGGGCGACCGTGAGGAATGCCGCGGCCATCTTTGGCCTTGAAATACCGACCACGAGTATGCAGTCCGACGTGTCGCCCTCGGCCGGCCTCATGGCGGAGCGGGGCATCCACCTGAAACAAACATTATCTATATTATTATCTATTCTAATAATAAACAACAACAAAATCAATTATCGTTCATACTATTCAGAAGTTAAATGATCTTTCTTTGAGATGTAATTTTATTTATTAGAATATATCAGGATTTAGAATGAAAATAATAATATGTGCAACATAAATTAGAATATGGGTAAATAAATGTAAGAATAATAATCGTTTATTCTATCGTGTTACTATTGTGTTCTATGTTGCCGACACGTCCGTGCGTTTCGGCAACCTGTAAAGATCTCCCAACCATCTTTACTTTATCAACAGCCTTAAGTTGCAACATATATATATGAGAAAATGATGTGTATGAGTATGAAGTAGATAGAGATAATTGTTTTAGCTAAACCAAGACACATGTTCAATGATAAGCATTAAAGCGTGTCACACAGCACGCTCTAATAGGTTGATGCGAACATTGTGGTTACTCTTATTCACTATTATCTCTATTCACTAGCTTCGTCCCTAGCTCGTTAGTATCGCGTGTAAGCAGAATTATATCGTATCATCCGTTTGCGAATGTAACTCCAGCGAGCATACACATATAACTTAGGTATTAGTATGTATATGTTACACGTGGAAAACGAACGATGGAAAGTACATTGTACATTGAATTTGCACGACACGCTAATCGCATGCCACTTTAAATACATACAAGAGTTCAAGGGGATGTTGTAGGGTAGTACGTTTGTAGAAAAAAAAAGAAAAACAGAAAAAATGATGATAATCGGCGAGGAAAATGCAACGTGTCGGTAACGAGCCTTTGAAAATCACTGTATTATCGGTCGTACTAAACGATAAATCAAGAAGAGTATAGTATCTACCCGTATGATCTTTCAAAAATACTGACACGAGATCTTCTAAATACGCGTTAGTATATTAGAAAAACAATAATAGTTGAGATTAATAATTGGAACTCATAATCATGAGTTCTATCTTATCTTACAATTTATGGTGTATAAATGTTCGTTATTCTATTATTATTATTATTATTATTATTATTATTATTATTATTATTATTATTATGAATATTTTAATAATGAACGAGAATTCAATATGATGGAACTAACAAACATCATCTATTGTTATCTTTTTGATACATCATAGTATTATTAATATTTAAAAAGTATCATTTGAAGCATTGAATTAAATTAAAAATGGCAGAGCTAACAAAAGTCAAATTAGCCGAACATTTCTATTATTTTAGCCAATTATAAAGTAATAAATACGTAACGAGATAGAGAAAATGTAGATAATACACGTGCAGGATAAAAAGAAAAAGATATTTATTAAAAAAGAAGACCCTTCGTAGCGATCGTTTTATTAAGATCGATGATTTCGATTAAGAAGACAGCCGAGCCGTAAAGAATCACATTTTGGCTAATATATTTCCGGGCAGCCCATTTATCTTTGATTAGATAAACGATCGTATTACGATCATGAGATTATCGTCGATGGATTATTTCCGTTAGAAGCCAGCCATCTTCATCCGACTTTTACTCCCTTTTTTTTCCCCTTCTTTTTTTATTATTTCGTGCCTTTGTCGTTCATTTTGTCATCATTACTCGACTTAAAAACCAACTTCACGTGTTACAACTCTAACCTCAAAATTTTCCATTTTTAAATCAACGATATTAATGATAATATTATAAACATTCTTTTTAAAATTAATTAAGATTGATTGTTGTACTTTTATCATGAAAAATTATATAAAAAAAAAGAAAACTTTTGTTGGGCATACAAAAAATTTGTTTATAAAATAAAGAATAAAGTGGTTCTTCATTTTTTTTATCACTACTGACAACTTACTCTTGTATTATAAACCAGAAATCCTTCATGTTTATATACACAAAGCACCTTTTATCACGACAATTGAATAATAATAAAGAAAGAAAAGATAAGAACAAAATGGTAATTAGAAAGATAGTCTAGTAAAAAGATTATCAAGCTATTCGTTTGCACCTCGTAACCCTGTCGATGAAAGTGAAACGTTTATTTTTATATACCATGATACATCCAACGAGAGACAGAGAGATAGATACGCGAAAGATAAGCGATAAAATGGCCGTTCTTCTTTTGCAACGTCATAAAATTTTTTCACTCTTTACACTTCCTCTCTCTTTCTCTCTCATTCTCTTTTGCACAACCGATAAATCATAACATGCATAGCAGCATGCGATGTATTCTGTAACTAAAAGGAAGAACGCAAACAGAGTAGTTGATTGATCGATGTTTTATTTTCCATTATTAAACATATTTTATTGACTTCAATTTCTTACGAAACTTTGGATAAATTTAATTATTAAATTTCATCACATTTTTAAATATTTGGTTGTCCTGAAAGTTCGTGCCGATTTTGAAGGAAGATGGAAGATACAAACCAATTAAGTTTTTTTTTTGTTTATTATATATTTATTACATAATAAATATAATTATATATATAATTATAAAATTAATATAATAATATAATAATTTTAGAATTTCGTGCTTCCAGAACTTTTCAGGTTTTTTTTTTAGCAAAAGAACTTTAATGCCATCTATAGAAAATCGGCACGAATTTTCGGTACAACCCAATATTTCAAAAAGAAAATATAAAAAATAAACACGAATATCTGCTATAGAGATAGAATCATTAGGTATTCGGTATAATTACCTTAGAATCTCTTTCTCTCTCTCTCTCTCTCTCTCTCTCTCTCTTTCTCTGTCTCTCCTTCTCGACACATTGTACATCAGCCTCAGGGTTTACTCTAAATGTAACATTAACAGAGTACCTACATTTCTCGACTAAGGGAACCGAAGGGATTTACACGTACAAATTCCTAATACGAATGCATACTCACGTATACACACAAACGCGCGTGCCTGTATTAATATGTCTGTGTGTATTTACTATGCACATATGTACATTACTATAAATTAATTCATACAATTTCTCTTTCTATTTCTCTTAAACTTTCTCACTCTCTTTATCTGACGAATTTAATATAAATAAACACACACATATATATGTATTTACTATAAACACATAAGAATTTAATATAAATTATTTTATGTGCAATTTCTCTTTCTCTTTCTTTCCTTCTTTCTTTTATTTTCTTACTCTTTCTCTTTCTATTAGTTACACTGTTTTAGTAAACTAAATATTTGTTAAGAATTATTCACTCACTTTATCTTTCTAGTATCATAGAAATCACTAGAAAGAAGAAGAAGAAGAAGAAGAAGAAGAAGAAGAAGAAGAAGAAGAAGAAGAAGAAGAAGAACGTAGATTCGTTTCATCAATCTAAGAAAATATCCATACGTATATAAGGGAGAAGTAAATAAGGTATCACGGCTTTTGAATTTGTCTAATGCTATCATTTCCATTTATCGGAATGATCTTATTATCAGCAAAATCTTGTTATTTCCTTTTACTTTTCTCTCTCTTACATCTTCCCATTGGTTATATTCATCTTTGAAATGGAAAGATTAATCTTCACAGATTTTTGCAAACTTTCTTAAGATATTTTTCCAATTCCTCTCACTATCCTTTTTTTCCTCGATATTCCAATAAAATACATATCCGTAAAACCTTATCTCGCGAAACCAAGATTCGTTTGTTTTATTATTGCATAAAATACAAAACAAGAAAGAAAGAAAACAATTCAAATAAAAATTGGTAAACAAAAAGTTATGCGAAGTAAAAGCGTTTAAAGTGAACGATCTGGTGTATCCGATAAAAATGAAAAGCGGCAACTGAATAAGAAAAGAAAAAAAAAAAAGGTTAGGAGTTATAAAATTTATTATAGAAAAATAGAAGAAAGTAAAAAGAAAAATACAAAAAAAAAAAGAGATAATAAAAATAATAAAAATAAATAGAAAGAAAAGTTTTCTTCTTCTTTTTATTTCTCTCCTCTTTCTCTCTTGCACCCTCTTCTTAAAGCTTGGATGGATAGCTTTCAAGTTGAGAATAGTTAACGAACTTGTGAAAACGAGCAGAGTCAAAGCGGATGATGTAGAGTGTTCTCGATGTCGCCAAGATGGGGTTTCAGAGAGAGAGAGAGCGAGAGAGAGAGAGAGAGAGAAAGAGAGGGTGAAGGGTCGTTGGGGGAGGACTTGTGTCGCGATCGATTTCTTATATAACGTGTATAAAGCCAGAACAGGCGATACCTTATCGAGGGTAAAGCTACTACTTCCATAAATAATGCAGTGGACATTACGTGCCACTCTGGTTCAGACGATCTCATGTAAAACGTTGTTCTCATCCCCCTCTCCTCCTTTATCACACTTCTCTTCACCATCTCTTCACCATCTCTTCCCCTTTTCTTTCTTTCCCATTCTCTTCTCCCTTTTTTTTATTATCATTATTATTTTTATTTTTATTTTTATTATTATTATTATTATTATTTTTTTTTCTCTCCGGGTACACGTTGTAGTAGCTATTTTGTACCATTTCCTATTCTGTACACGTAAAACCATACACGTATTTCTACTATACCCCTACAAAGTGGTCCACTTAAAGTATTACGATGAATGAAAATCGACGCTGGCTAATTTTTTAATCAAAAATTATTTAATACGTTTCTTTCTTTTTTTTTTTTTTTTTAAATTTTCTTTAATTTTTTTCTTTTACTCCTTTTACGTTTTAATGTTCATTTTATGCTAATATTGACATGCCTGTGGCGATGATAGTTCGTGAACGTTAGAAGAGAGTTTCTATTCAGGAGATTGTATTTACTTACATGTTTTGGTAATCCACTTAAAATGTTGAGGATTACAAATTTTTGTTGTGAATTTTTTTTTCTTTTTTTTAGATAATTAATATTTTATAATCGTATTATTTGTTTTTAAAAATATTTTTCAAAAATTTCGTATAGGAAATATTTCATAGTTTTTGATTACATCAACGGTCAATGTTTCCTACTGTATTTTGTTTAATTAATAATTGATACTTTATATTTAATAATGTCTTTAAATTACATGGATAAAAAATTGAAAGTTTTATGGGTTTTTATGATATTTACAGTTGATCATTTGACGTTGTAGGACACGAGTTTTCAGTGTGTTTCATCAAAATGGTACACCACGTGACAAGTTACGCGTTAAATAACAAAACGTATGATAGAATTTCGATATTTTTTTTGTTTTCCAATTGGAGATAAAGCGATCGTTTTAAAAGGGAACGTCTCGGAAGAATTGAATTTAACGATTTGGAACGTTGTTGGTCGTGATAACGATTATATTCAATCTAAAGTTCCTATGAAAGATAGTACAACGAATCGGCCGTGAAACAAGTAGCGTTGAAAAACCGCAGAGCGGCTTTGGTCGTTGGTTTCGATTCAGTTGATTCTGACGACCAAAGTCGAGCCATCCGTGCGGCTTTCGGCGCGTTGCCAAATATTTATTCGCTTCGTCGAGATTCCTCTTTGGAGATGCATCGACCGTATTACATCTATGTATGTATGCATTTATGTGTGTGTATGTATTTTATGTATTTTATATCGTCAAATTACAATTTCAAAAAGCAAAACAAACTTCTAAACTTTTATCTTAAATTCCTTCTTTTTCATTCATTCATATTCGTTTTATGAATATTTTAATTATTAATATATTAATTATTAATAATTTTATGAACTCGAAATTATTGAAATACGAATTAGGATAAATCAAAATTTTTGGTGGTATTTTTTGATTTAAAAAAAATGTAAGTTAAAAAGTCTTGATTAGAAAAGAATTGATAATCCATTACGATGAATTACGAATTATTACAAGATGGCGTCGTAATATTACGTTATAACTAACCTCCAAAATTGTTTTATATCAAACAACTATTTTATTATAATAATATTATGATTTCGTATAATATTTTATAAGTATTTAAATACAATTTTAAACCCAATTACAATTTGAGATTGCTTATTTTCAATGACCCACTTGAAACTTTTGATTTATATTAAACCGAAAAAGTAACATTTGAGAAAGAAAATTAACTTCGAAAGAAAAAAAAAATGTTATCAAAAACTCAATTGAACATAATCGAGAGAGTGAGAGGAAAACTATTATAGATTTTTTCGGGATACAATTGTTGAGGTACACGTAAGTCTCGAACATAGTAGCCGAAAGCTCTTTATGTCCGTTAACTGTAGCCGATTTTGTCGAGTAGTTTCGTGACTCCTCGCCATGTTGGGTTCTGTTAAAATTGAAGGCCTTATCTCGCGAACTAGTTCAATTAGGATCTCGACGCGGAAAGCAGCGATTTTCTCATCAGAAGGACCGACGCGGAAACTTTAATTAGTCCATTACTCGTAGATATCTCGGTTTTAGAGCTTCTTCGAGTCTACTTTTACGATAGTAACCACCATCGTCTCGATCGCATAACTAACGTTACCTTCATTCTTATTCATACATAATTTTACCATTCAATTTTTTTAAACACTTATAATTAATTTTAATAATCATAATAATATTAATAAATGAATAAAAATATAATATAATATAATTTTTACCGTTCAAATAATATTACCAATTTCGTAATTATTATTTGAAAGCATATAGGTTATGGTTATTAGCCCTTTTAAATGGTTGCCACTCAATTTTTTGTTTTAACATTTATAATTAATTTTAATAATCATAATAATATTAATAAATGAATAAAAATATAATATAATATAATTTTTACCGTTCAAATAATATTACCAATTTCGTAATTATTATTTTGAAGCTTATAAGTTATGGTTATTAACCCTTTTAAATGGTTATTAATCTTTTCGTTACTAGCTCGACCCATATACGGATCGTAAAATTCAAATAAAACAAAATTAATTTAAAATAATAATAATAATAATAATAATAATAATAATAATAATAATAATAATAATAATAATAATAATAATAATAATAATAATAGTAAAAAAAGCTAACCTAAAAATCGAACTTCATTATATATAAAACATTCAGTTTATTGATCAAACAATTATTACAGCAAACGAATACGAGTTGTTAACGTTGTAACGATATTTGTTAGAGAACTATTATCGAATGGAAATAAAATATATACTGAGAAAAACAAAGAAAAATGTTATTTTTTTTTTAGATCGAACATGCGTGTGTGTGGACACGCTTAACGCTTAGATTTGAATGTTGCTGTGTAATAGGAAGCGTTTTTCACACCGCACTTTATTTTATTAATTTAAACACAGAATGTATCTCTGTTACTGGCAATTCGCGAGTGCAATAGGATTCGATTTTATTCGCTGCGTTCGGATCACGCTAGACGGATTTTAATAAACGATTTGAGCTTGGGGTTTGGCGACTGAGGGGACTAAAAAAAAATGAAAATAAAAACAAAAAAAAATAAAAGCGTGTGAGAGAGAGAGAGAGAGAGAGAGAGAGAAGTCAAAGAAACGTCCTTTCAATAATTCCTTCCCGAATCCGACTAGCCATTGTCCCCTACATTGTGTAGATACATGTATGCACACGTGTGTGTACATACATGTATATTGGTATAACGGGTTCAGAGGGTCCTTTGAAAGAAGTATAAAGTTATAGCTGGCAAACAAAGCAATTAACGCCCGCTTCGTCCAACCAAACGTTTTTTTTATTTTTTCTTTCCGTCCATGAAAATAATATACATATATATATATATATATATATATATATATATATTTTTTTTTTGTTATTGTATTTTTTTTTCCTTTTGATTTTATATAAAGAATGGAAAAGCCAAAAGGTCCTCCTAGACGATTATAAAAATCAATCTATCTTTTCGTGAAACTTTTTAGGTTAATTGTATTTTTTCGATGACAAAACTGAAAGGTTAGAGAATTTTGTTTATAACGTGGAAAATAATTTCGAAATATAAGTTTAATTTACCATTCAAATTACCTAGTGACTTTTGATCTATCTGTGAACTTTTGAGGATTTGTTTTTATCGATAAATTAAGAAAAGGTAAAAAGACAAAATGCCAACTGTTAATGAAAAATGTGTATGAACAAATTAATTGATAACGTAGGGTGATCACATATTGGTGATTAAAATGTCATTGATTTTTAAGTATTAACGAATTGTTTATAAATATTATACTTACAAGACATCTATGGGGGACAGGGTAGACCACTCACGACGAGGCCGTGCCTTGTTGGGCATTTGCGTTAAGTTTAGTTGTTCACATTCTTGAAATTCCTACAAACAAAAATCACAAATTATTAAAAAAAAAAAAAAAACAGCCACTTTTTATTATTTATTGTAAAGTAAAATATGTTATTTAAAGTATGATTTTTTAATCATTTAATTATAGTCAATCATTTATTCGGTGTGTGTAGATGTATTTCTGTGGTGTTTGAATATTTCAAAGAAAAGAAAATTAAACAAATAATAGAAGAATTTGTTTGTTCAGCAAATGCAGAAAAGAAGATGGGATGGGATGGAATGGACGGAATTTTTCTGAAAAAATCCAATATTTTTGCACTGAAAATATTCTCTCTATTTTCTGTAGCAGGTTGATTAACCACAAAAAGAAAAAGTCAATTTAAAAAATGATATCAACGAGATTCGACACGAGAATCTAGTCTTAACATAAGCGAATTATAACGAAATCAAAATTCGTGCGAACATTGAAATTTTCGTGTTATAATTTTTGCATTTATTCTTTAGAATGAGGTTATTATGCGGTTATTTTTCGACGAGATCAAAAAGTGAAGAATAAGAAAAAGAGAGGTGGAAAAAAATCGGATAGAAAGATAGAAAGGAACTTTTGCGTACTTTTTCTCTAAGCACTATCCTCCCTTCCACCTCTTCCACCCCCATTTTAAAACCCGCCACAAAGTTCACGAAGTTCAAAAAGTTCAAGTAGATTGTCTGCGGCATCTATCGGGCAATTTTTACTCGAGGCTCGATGAAGTTTTACACGCCAAACAAAAAAAAAAGAAAGATAAGAATGAAGAAAAAAATCAAAGGGAAGTCCGAACCAGATTGCAAAAATTCGATTGATCGATTAAAAGTAAAAAAATAAAAGTTTAAAATATTGTTTTTTTTTGTAGTTACACCATTAATTCAAATGATTTAAATTATTTATATTAATGCATAAATAAACATATCGATTATATTATAAGATAGGATTACTAAAAAGTTACTAGACCATTAGAAAAAATGATAGCCATTACCAAAAACAAGATGGTGGTCTTTCGAAAGACATAACCTACACAATTAACTACAAATCATTTCGTAAAAGTATATATATTGTTTATAAAAGAATAGATATGAATTTTTAATATATAAAATAATTATTTTTTATTTACCAATTATTTAATTATAAAATATTATTACAAAATAATAAAATAATATTGGTAAATAGATATAATAACAATTTCCTCACACACACTTAAATATGAATATTTAGAAACAATGAATTAGTAAGAGCTAAAAAGTATTTCTTTCAATTATGAAACTTCTTAAATAATACAAATAAAAATGGATAATCCTAGGGGGGAAAGAAAAGAATAAAGTAAAAACCAAAATTGCATTGAAATTCTGTTCGTGATATTATCAAAGCCAAATTCGTTGCTGGTTAAATAGAAAGAGAATTGTGGAAGGGGAGTAGATTTAAAACAAAAAAAAAATAAAAAATAAAAGAGGAAACTGGGATTTGAAGACAATGCAGTAGAGGCCTAGGAGGATAGTCCGAAACAAACCACCATTATACATATAGTTACATGCATATACATATATATAGTACTGCAGTGATACGTGCAAATCTCCGAGCCAGAAATAAAGAAAGAAAGGAAGATAGCAAAGCAGAAAGAAAAAAGAAAAAAAAAAGAAGATTTTTTTTTTGACAAGCATTGTTTGCACCCACTATCGATCATCGTTGAGCCACTGTTTGCGGATTGGGTTCCGTTCTGACACGGAATGATCGTTTAGGAAGGTTTAAACCCTATCCGGATTTGCTTTTCTATGCTTGGCCCTGCATCAAGCTAATCTTTTGTCGAGATCAAAACTTTTTGCCAGTTGACAAAAAAAAAAATAAACGACGAAAAAGAAGTGAGATATACAAGAAAAAAAAAAGATTTTTTTTTTTTAAATTCCCTAAATTACTAGAGGGTGTCTCGTCGGTAAGATAGAAATCTTTTTCTTTTTCTAGAAGAATATTTATAAATTGTTATTTTCATAAGTTTTTTTTTTCTGAAATCTTTGATCATTTTAATTTAAAATAAATAATATGAAGATATTAGAGCATTAATAATTTATTTGTTATCCCTATGACATTTATTTCTAATTTCAACAATAAGCATAAATTATTAGATAAATATTCACACATACGTCTATTAGTAATGTAATATATAATAGTAATATGAACAGTCTAATAGAGAAATGGCAATGAAATAACAATTCATTCTTCCATTGAATGATTTAAAGTGACTACAAATCATATCTACACGAGTATATTGGATCTCACATTGTGTTTTTATTTTAATCGCAATGGTAATTTGTTCTTGAACCTGTACTCTTCTCTCTCTCTCTCTCTCTCTCTTTCGGTTTCTTTCTCTTTCTCTCTCTTTTACCTATTACCGTGTAATGCAATAATATCATAACGTTCTATTTATGGGTTAATCCGTTAATGTTACCGTCTCTATATCTATACCTAATTCGGGTAATTTAGGCTCATTAAATTATAGTGGAAGGACGATTATCTCCTGAGCGACTCGAGGGACAAAACGTGATGGTTCAATAAATTGAAGCTTACTTCTATTTATGCATCCCCATGAGAAATTATTTCTATATAATAACAATATATATTTATATATATTTTCTTTTTATTCGAAGATAATCCGAATTATTTTATATCATTTGATTAAACATTTTTGTTAATCAATATCAAAAATAGTTACCACCCAAATACGAGGTTAAATATATCTGGGAACAATTTTATTGTACACATTTTTTTTCTTTTAATTATAAAATAATTAATAAACACAACATTTTTATATGGGTTTATGGTTCACCGATATTCAGAACCTTATATACCCTAAACCCCATAATTCTCGTATAACACACAATTTCAAGACCATTGCTTGAAATGTTTGCTGTTGACTTTAAATCTTTTGTGGAAAGAAAACAAATCAGATTTTTCGCGTTATAAGTTTTACGTTTAACGTTTATAATATCGTATTATGTAAAGTATATAAACGGATGGCGATAAGAATTTCCATTTAAATTGTTTCCTTTTCTCGAAAGCTATGCCATGTCAGCGAGTAGTAAGAGAACTCGAAAGTTTCTCCATCTCTCTCTCTTTCTCTCTCTTTCCCTCTCTCTTCTCTTTTCAGGTATGCAAATTCAAAGTTGCAGTACACCCTCTTTCTCTCTCTATCTTTTTCATTTCCTCCCCAACCCTTTTTATCTTTTTACACTTTTATTCGTTCTTAAAGATTTTTACCTTTGATTGAGTAATTTCAATTCAAATTTAATTTAAAAATCTTTGTTGACAATATTATTTAATTTAATTATCCTTGTTTAGATCAAAGGTTGCCAAAGTGGTGTTCCATGAGAAAATTTCGTTGGTCTCCAGAAAAATGTGGAATATACTTACTCATCATGTTAAGTTATTGTTTAAGATGCATTGAAACATAATTTAATTTATAACAATAATAATAGCACAGAAAAGACATTTAATCTCTTGTTAATATTAAATACACATGTATTCAATATTTTTCAATATTTTGTGCTACTAGGGTTTTATAATTTGGTAACAATTAATATTGGATTGGCAAGAAAGTAATTTCGGCTTGTACCAATAAATAGCGTTATGTTTGTTTCGTTATTCTTTTGTTAATGTATGTTAAAATTTTTTAATTATTTAATTTAAAGTTCATTTTCTGTATAGAAACAATTGAGTTTTATTTCACACTAGAAAACTGAAATTACTTTCTTGCAAACCCAATAGTTTTATTTTATTAATCAGGTACATTTTATGTGTTCTTAGATGACAATTTTTTTTATAAATATATTTAACACTTAAAAAATCCTATTAGTGGTCAACGGGACTTAAATTATGAATTTACTGGTCCACTAAGTCAAAAAGTTTGGTGACCACTGGTTTAGATTATTATAATATATTATAATTGTATATTATAATATTAATTATTATTTATATAATATTATATTGTATTTATTTTATTTATATTTATACTTATTTTATAATTGTGTATTATAATATTATATATTATATATTATAATAATGGTTTAGATTATTATAATATTCTACGTTTAGTTACGAACATAATCTAATTTGATATCATCCTACTATCCTATTCTTTACCCATGAGAGAACTTCAACCGATTATGGGAATTTAAAAATGATGATCTTGCATTTTTCTCTATACAAATTCATTTGAATTTAAAAACCAACAGAAATTTTTCGTATTCCTATTGAATAGTGGACTTCTAGGGTCTCCTCTAAATGGGTTTGAGTATTTTTTGAAAGGATCAGAAAAATATGCCAATATTAAAATTCAGAGAGAATTTGGATTAAGAAATCAAAGAGAGAGAGAGAGAGAGAAAGAGAGAGAGAGAGAGAGAGAGAGAGGGAGAGAGATAATTCAGAGAGAAAATTATTTTCCTCTATTTTTCAAAATTTTGCTTTATGAAAAATTGTATGAAAGGACTTTTATTTAACAAAAATCGATGATAAATATTTCCAGTAAAATGTTTGAATTGGAAAAATAAGAAAGATGAGAAAAAAAAAGAAAATGATTTGAAAAAATGATTATAGAAATAAAAAAAAAATTTCATTTAAAATGGTGGTATAATACACGTAAAAGTAATTTTTTCCTCTTATCGAAGAAAGTCAAATTATTTTCATTTGGCAAAAGGAAATGTTAGATGTTAGACATCGTGTGAGATAAGCCACATAGTCTAATACCAGGAAAGAGAAAGAGGGAAAGAAAGAATAAGAGAGAGAGAGAGAGAGAGAGTGAGAGTGAGAGAGGAAGAAGTTTTGTCTTGCTGCGACAGATAAACGTTATCTCATGAAACGAGGAGAAACTTATTGCCTGGCCTTGAGGGTTAAAGATGATACGGGTAGACGCTTGAAATATGATTTTCTCGGGATCCTACTGGAGAATTTTCGTGTCATTCATTTATAATTCGTGAATTTTAACTTTTACTCTCGAATCTATTTTATCTTT